ATTTTTTTTCTCCTATTTTCTCCTTTGTGAAATAAAAACCTTTGGGTTCAACAAGTGTCTGATACAACATACAGATCTGGAATATTGTGCCCAGTTCTGGGCCCCTCAGTTCAAGAAGGACAGGGAACTGCTGGAGAGAGTCCAGCGTAGGGCTACAAAGATGATTAAGGGAGTGGAGCATCTCCCTTATGAGGAAAGGCTGAGGGAGCTGGGTCTCTTTAGCCTGGAGAAAAGGAGACTGAGGGGTGACCTCATCAATGTTTACAAATATGTAAAGGGTGAGTGTCAGGAAGGTGGAATTAAGCTTTTTTCAGTGTTGACCTGGGATAGGACAAGGGGTAATGGGTGCAAATTGGAGCATAGGAGGTTCAAGGTGAATATCAGGAAAAATTTTTTTACTGTGAGGGTGACGGAGCACTGGAACAGGCTGCCCAGAGAGGTTGTGGAGTCTCCTTCACTGGAGACATTCAAAACCCGCCTGGACGCCTTCCTGTGTGATGTACTCTAGGTGACCCTGCTCTGGCAGGGGGGTTGGACTAGACGATCTTTCGAGGTCCCTTCCAACCCCTATGATTCTATGATTCTATGATCAGATCTGTCATCAGGTAAAAGGTATTAGAAAACTTTTCCGGGATTTCGTGGTCTGTGCAGGAAGATTTTTTTTCCTAGCTCAGGAAAGGAAATCTATTGGATACATTTTGCTGAGGGAGCTCGCAAATCATTGGGAGCTGAAGGTTTTAACCTGAAAAGTGTGAAGCGGTCTCTGCTACCCACATTCAGCTATTAGTTTCTGAAACTTTGTGTAACAGCCATAGGAAGGTCACTACTAACAATCCATTTTACTTCTTTCCACTGTGTTTGGTTTTGGTTTAGCAGAAATTACCTGAGCCAAAGGCAGTATTTTGTTTTTACCTGCTCTTACAACCCAGATTTGGTATTTGCCACTGCCACCATTTCTAGCTTAGCCAAGACACCCTAAGAGCCTCTTGCTGCAGAAGATCTGAAGGGCTTTTTCTCTCAAGCTCTTCCTCATGCGGTGTAAAATGTACATATGCAAAGCATGGTGAAAGAATCCAAGTATTACGTATATGATTTCTTCTCCTTGTTCTTGACATTGTCCTATTATGGGTTCCTTTTTCCAGCCTATTATCTTTCTTCAGGAGGAACATTTTGTAGTGCCTTACTTCAGGTAATCTTACCATACCTAAAGGGGGCTACAGGAGCAGCTCGAGTACAGCGATACTTCTTCAAGCATCACAATGATTATGCCAGAGAGCTCCGTGAAGGACCTAGTAACACATGGACACAGCACCAGGAGTGACCCTGCAGAGTTTGTGCCTCAGTGGGCAAAGGGCCCAAACCCAATTCAGCTCTACTGTGTAGCCAGTCCTGAAAACTGGGCCAGTCTGCTACATGTGTCAGTTCAGACTGAATTTCCTTTGACAAATAAGACCTCCTCTTCGTAGTAAAATTACCTTTTAAGGTCCAAATCCTCAGTAAACCAAATGGATTAATTCTACACTTGAACATCTTTAACAATCTCAAAAACAACTATGATATGTTCCTGTAGGCACATCCCACATGTTCCCACCTAACCCGACGCAGCACTGACATTACCACACAATTACAGACATGCTCTGAACCCAAGCAAGGGCTGAGAGACACAGACTTGACCAAGAGACTCCTCTATTTCAGGTCAGTATCCTCAAAGTGTTGCAATTATATCCAGCTTGTGGCTGGCCACTAGCTACTGCAAAGCACTACCAGCTGAAGCATTATTGAAGAGGTTAAATCCCTTCATCATGCTGGGCTGAACTTCTCTTAAAAAATGGGTACTTTTAACTGATTAAATCATTGCCTTAGCTCCAGTTTGGCACAGTGTGAGTTCATAATGAGGGAGCTGGTAAACCTTCTGCATGAAGGTCAGCTTCTGATGTCCTGCATGTCTGCAAGTCTAGAGCAGGGAGGCAAGCTGGGTGCCAAGGCAGCCATGGACAGGGGAAGGTAAGACAAAAGACAGAGGCCAGAAAAGCAGCAGAGAAGGTGGTTAATACTTCAACTTTGGAAAAGTTAGAAGGAGCACTGTGGCTTTGGAAAAGTGAGGATTTGCAGGGGGAGCAGGGTGGATGGGCAGGTTCCCTCCCCTGCTTTTTGAGCAGCACTTCCAAGCAGGCCCTTTTCCCTCCGGCAAGAGCAGTAACACTGAAATCGGGTCCTGTGTGAAAATCAAATCGCTCAGTCTCTTCCAAGCCTTGGAGTCTCTTGCTGTGTGCTGAAACCAGAGCTCCTCCTGGAGGTCTGCAGAGTCCACACCCTGACACTGTGAGAGCTCATTGCTGCTGCTTGGCACAAACAGCAGGGCACCAGGCACTTAACCACCCTGCAGACCTATATGGTGTGTGCAATAGGGAGGTGTAGGGCCTATATGTCAGCAGCCCTAGCTGCCTTCAGTTAGCTCAGCTGCTGCTCCGAGGTCACTTTGGGAAGCTGCATTATACGTACTTTTGTGGTGGAATTCATCTGAATCTATTTACATATTCAGTATAGCTGAAAACGTATGTTCCTCTTAAAGTGCACATTTTATTTTTTGCCAAAAGGAAGCTTAACTCAGGGTGGAGGGTGGGCCTTGTAAATCCTGTCTGAACCCACAAAACATTCCTTACCCACTAAGGCAGCACACCTTTGACTGCTGCCGATACCTTAATGAGAGGTGTCGAGACTCTGCCTGCATGGGAGAAACTCGCTACCTCAGACCTGTTAACCTCCCCCCGATTTTACTAAATTTAGCTCACTTCAAACCACAGATCCTCAATTTAGGCACATGCTGCCATTCAAGTCCGGGGGAACAAGATGCCTACCCTCTGAGAAAGCTGGCCAAGCAGTGCCAGAGTTCAGCTGCCTTAAAGGGCACCTGATTAAACCTGCCTTAAACAGCACCTGGTGAGAGCACAGCGGGTGTACAAGGCTTCGGGGTGTGGATGTCCAAACTATCTCAAGGGCATTTCCCAAAGCTCATCCTCATAAAGAGGAAGACAACTATCAACTATTTTAGGGTGGGGGGAAGATCAGCTAAGCAGACACACAAGCGAAACATGAACACCTGAGCACAGGCAGCGTGCAGGAGAAGAGGGAGCAGAACAGCAGAGGGCTTGGCATGACCCTGACATCCCAGCTGAACAAGGGTGTGCAGAAATATCTAGGCACATACTAACATTTCATAACTACATTGTCTACCTTCATCTGTTGCACTGCAGATATTGATCCCAAGTACAGAGTCCAGCGATCACCAGATAATTTAGCATTGATAACAAAACAATAAACCACTTACACTGTGCTCAACGTCAGATGAATGGGGCAGATTTTCCCTGCAGTATACACCTGACTGAGCAGTGCTGTGTTGGTGGTTCTCGCAGTGGTCTCTGCAGCCGGGGCATGCCTGAGAAGATGCAACAGCTATGTTAGATTAGACTTATGATATTTGCCACTTCTTGAGATGTTCAAGCTAGTCTGAGACTAAAGCTTCCTCTTTAAAAACAGACATCACTAAAATAGGATCTACATCATTAAAAACAGTGATATTTTTTTCATTGGTAATAATTCCCATACATGCCCATCCTCTCCTTCCACCTTCCTATACCTCTCACCCCAAACAGCTGTATACACAGCTGGCACATGGTGCCATTGGGCCCCACAAAGATGCAGACAAGCTGCCCCAGCCATTGTACCCTTTCAACCCCAGGTCTGACTGATGGCCTTAAACCACTGATCCAACCCTTTATATATGTGTGTAAATATACATGTGTGCATGTACACAAGATGGGAGATACTGTACACACACAGTCTCTTACTTTAGGGAGATTCTAATGCAGGGCATTAAAAACTGCATTATTTTATTTGTTTTACTTCATCCTTGCTACTGAAGAGTAATTTCTCTTTTTCATGTTTAAAAATCTTTCCTTTCAACTAAGGCCTGGAAAGTGAAATACACATATTTCTGAAACAATTAAGAGATCTCTGGGATTGGAGGGAGGGAGGTATTTTGGACATATTAAAATAAAAGAATCTTGCAACAGAAGTGTTAAGTGGGAAGGAATGCAGCCCAAGCACCACAGCATACACTGAACTGGTTTTCTTTTTTTGGTTAGTTGACTTTTTAAACCAAATCACCTTCAAAGAATTCTTGCATTCTAATCTAACACCAAAAGATTAATACATCTAAAAATATGAAATATGCTCACACCTTCTAAAGAGTACTGTATCCTAATGACTGCACAAGGAGAGTACTTACAGTTCAGCCTGGTAGGAAAATAATTTTAATATAATCATATCACAAAAGTATGACATGAAAATATTTACAGCATATATTAATTTTTTACTTTTTATTAATGTATTTTGCCCCTTTTACAGCTGTCCAGATTAAAAACATCCAAGCCTGTTCAAAGAAAATACTCTCAAAATAAATAAGAAACAAGAAAGAAGTAATCTATAGTACACCATCTGCTGCCACAGTCCTCTTGTAAAATACATTCCTGTTAGTAGAGAGCATATTTACAGCAACATGTTGACACTGCTCACTCTTGTGTGCTCACATACTGAACAAATAGCATCTTGGCATGAAGAGAGAGACATATGTTCAAAAAAGGAAGAGCCATTTGTCATCTGAATTTACACATGAAAGAACTATCTCTTCAGCTGAACTAAATCCCTGGAGCTCCTTTGCTTTTGAAGGAAACCACTCATCTACTGTTTCCCAAACAAATACAGCACCAAACACTCCAGTTCTGCTGGTCCATAACGTATTTTGGTTTGTGTACACGACTAGAGTATCTCTGAGTACAGCTTCACCAACCATGTGTCCTGGCCTGTGAGCTGGTACACGACTCTCTGCTCCAGAATCGCCAGCCACTGCACACAGGCTTTTAGAGCAGCTCACCCAAGTGACCTGTTTCTTTTCTTCACCCTTCACAAATTTTGTTCCTAAAGTGCCTGGTTTGAAATCAATAAGATGAGAACACCTGAAGCTTCCCAGCATCAACACTTGGCCAAAACTGCTGAAGGTCAGCAGTCAGATGGTAGCTTGCCAAGGAGAATACCTCCCTGCGAGTTACTCCCTCCTGCAGGGGCTCACGTGGAGCATCACACTGCATTCTCCAAAGCGGACTAAAAACCACTTTGCTTTCAAACTGGAAGCTTACAGACCTGTTTTGGTTAGGCTGTAGATCACCTTAAATATGCTACATGCTACACAAATGCCAAGTAATCAAAACCTACTAATTCAACCAAGAACAGATGCTAGAAGCCAGCTTTTCCAAGCTAAGCAGGGGACTATGTTGGCACAGCCTCACGTTTAGAAATACCAGATATGTTCACAAGCACAGGAAAACAGGATTCCAGCCAAAAGGATTAGCAAATGGATTCAAAATAACTCAGAATAATTGTTATTTTATTATATGCCTGCTTTCAGCTGGCATCTCATCCTGAATTTCAGCAAGCATTAAAAGCCAACTAATATGTTAGTGTTCAGCTTCCTACTGAGAGTTCAAAATGTACTTTTAAATGTAAGGCATTTTATTGTTGTTGTTTGTTTTTAAAACAACAGTTGAATAGTTCCAAGTTTTCTTTACTCTCAACAGAAAGGAACAATTTTCTGGTACCTCCAAACTCTGGGACAGAATACATACAATTTTTCCTAGTAGGAAATGTATCTAAAGTCATGTGGCAAGGCTTGATTCTCCTTTCATATGGATGCAAACCAAAAGCAATTCCACTACAGAGAATAAAAAAGTCTTGAAAAACTGAATCTCTCCATAGGGTTTGTAAATCTTCGGTTCATCCATGGAACTCGTCTTGAAAGTTTCTGAGCAGTGTCCACAAACACACATTAGCTTGTTCCTAAAATCCAAAAAGCTGAAGCCTATTGTAGCCCATCAAAGCTAAACACCCAGCAAACAACAAAGCTTCTAAAGCCCTCAAGAGAAGGGGTCAGTCCTCTGTTGCTACAGATCTACAGAAACCAAATCTCACCACTATTCCCCAAGGGGGGCTCAATAGTCAGCAAATTTAAATTAATTTGAAAACAAGAAACCTGGATTAATGTGACCCTGCTTCCCACATTTGAAGGAACTCCCCAGTATTTTACTACTTCCTTGTGACTGACAGCAGGCTACTAGCATAGAGCTTAAGTGTTATTTAATAAAATTTGTTAATACAAAGCAACCTTTTTAATTTCTACCTTGTATTGAACAGTGATTTCTCTATACATGTAGTGGTTTAGCACTCCGAGTGACACTTGTCTCTTAGGCTAAAAAGCTGTCTGTTGGGCACCTCAACTTTACAAGTAATAATCAAGAATCAGTTTTTAAACAGTTTAAAAGGCATTTCAAATACAACACGCTGCCATTATTTCCATTCAAAAACTGAGTAAGAGAGAAGAAGTCAATGTTCAGAAATTAAAATTATTTCAAAAATGTAAAATTAAAAAAATGTGTTACTAATTCCTTTGAGAATGAGTATTATACAAAATAAAGACTCATGCTAGAAAGACACAGTGGAAGAGGCACTACAGGAAGATCAAGTCTCTTCTGGACTTCTGACAAAGTTAGCAGATATCACTTCTGTTTAGCAGGGTTCTGTAAGAACTTGGACATTTCATTTTCCCCAATCATTGTAAAACTGTTCTTTAACTGAGCTAGAAATAGTTCCAGATGTGATTCAAGCTGACCTAGAGAAGTACAGAGAATATTCTGGCCAATGTTAAAACAAAAAACCTATCCCACTTCAAAAAACCTACAGGAGAGCCTCCTCTTAATATTTAGGACATCATAAGTTGCTCCAGGCAGTTTAAAATTCCATGCACAAATGAATGGCTCTTAGCTCTTGGACTCAAAGGAATTTGCAAGTCAGTACATCTATAAAGCTGTTTTGCTAACATTCAAATAGTCTGAGCCAAATAACCCTCTACGACAGGGCCTTGGTGACTTAATTTAACATCTTCACTTCAACAAAGAGTCCAGCTGTGCACGTACATGAGGCACACAGGTTTTACAGACCAGCCAGGTACAGGAAGACATTACCTAACAAAAATGACACTAACAACAAAGCAGATCTCTGGCCAAGGCTGAAACAACTTTTATGCTTGGAGGTTTGGGCAACTAGTGCATTTTTTGTTCATTTTTTTTTTTTTTAATCTAGTGTTGTCATATGGCAGTAACACTCTTCTTAGCAAGACTGGCCACAGAAACCCAGGGTTTATGAAATACAACCACACTAAATCAGTACAGTTACAAAAAAATCTTTGCAGCTCTTTACATCTGTGCTATAATGTTCAGTGTTATAAAAAGACCATGCTCTTATGAAGCCCAGGCAGCCAGCTTCTTCATTTCATCTTCATCTTCTGCCCTCTTCCTGGTCGATGCTGCACAGGAAGAGAGATAACAATAACCATCAACTGCAGTAACAGTCAGAGCCATTTTATTTGCTAGCACGGGGACTGGCACAGTGCTTCTCAGTTCGAAGATCTCAGATCAATTTATGGAGTAGAAAGCTAAACATAGGTGATGCAGTAATGAAGCTCATGAGCAATGTGACCACTCTGCCCCGCCATTATCTCACATAGAACCCTGAGGTTACATCTGACCTGTATTTTTAACTCTGCTGAAAGACTCCTACAGAAAATACATTTAATCTCTAAAAGCTGTCACAGAAAGCAAGCGTCCAGAAGAATGCTGCCACCTGGCATGGCACGAGTGACCTGCTCCTGGCCAGCTGTGCATCCTGCTGTCTTTCCAAATAGTGCTGAAGGATTCTGTCTGTGCAGGTCCAGTCTTGAAACAGATTCACCCCATTTTAATGAGAGGTGTCTCTTACTAAAAGGGAGAAAAAATTCCTGAACTTATCTTTGCTCAGGTGACATCAGTCAATTGCTGTGGTCAATTTTGTTTTCACCCCAAACTCCTATCACACATCTTTCACATTTCGTGAACCGGAACCTCACCCAAATAGTCCTCATTCACTGATGTACAAACTGCATGCCTTAGGTTCAGCCTCAGGCTGTGTCCATCTGTGGGCTGTGCATGTCAGGATTTGCATTCCTG